GTGTTCTACCTAAAACAGCTATTAATATTTATATTTTCAAAACTAAATGTTGATTTAACTAAAAAGGTGTCCTAACCTGTTTTAGAGGATGGTGGGAGGGCTCGTGTGTACACGCTAGGGGAGGGAGAGGGTCGGATCTTCATCTCCCAAGTAAGGAGTAAAAAAAAAAACCTGAACCTGAACAGTATAGACATAGTATAAGCATAGCACCTAGAAACATGAAGTAGCAGAAGAAATAGCTAAAACTATTGAAAATAATCGTTTCTGGGCAGTGGGACTCAGAGGTGGAGCAGGAGCATGTCAGGAGACTGGTGTTTCATTACAAAGCCCTGAGGTGATATTTGACTTCTATATACATGTATTACTTTGATATTAAAAATTAAAGAAAACATATGTCCACACAAAAACATGTACACAAATGTTCATAGCAACATTATTCATAATATCGAAAAAGTGGAAACAATTCAAATTTCTATCAACTAGTGAATGAATAAATACAATGTGATATGTCATATGATGGAATATTATTCTTCTATAGAAAGGAAGAAAGCCCTGATAGATGCTACAACCTGGATGAGTCTTGAAAACTTCTGCTCAGTAAAAGAAACCAGTCACATGAGAACACACACTGTGTGATTCCATTTCTATGAAATGTCCAGAACAGGCAAATCTACAGAGACAAAATAGATGAGTGGCTGGGGGCTTGGGAGGTGGAGATAACTGGGAAATAACTGCTAGTGGGTACAGGGTTTCTTTTGGGGGTGATGGAAATATTCTGGTATTATATAGTGTAATGGTTGCCCAACTCTGTCAACATACCAAAAACCAGTGAATTTCACTTTTAAAAGGTGAATTTTATGGCATGAGAATCAAACCATTGTTTGAAAATTGAAAGAAAAAAACAAAAATAATACCTAATTCCTAAGGTGGTTGTGAGAAATAAATGAAATAATGTACGTGAAAGGTCTGCTCCAGAGCCTGGTATAAATATCAAAAGTCTCGTTAATTCTTATATAACATTAACTATGTGCCAGGCACTCCTCTGAGTTCTCTCCGTAGATGAGTTCACTGAACCCTCACAACAACTCTATAAAAGAGATGCTGTTTTCGTCCCCATTTCCTAGATGAGAAAGCTGAGGCCAGTGACCTTAAATAATTTGCCCAACGTCACACAACTAGTGCAGCAGTAGAGCTGGGTGTGACCTTAGACGACTGGCTCAGCATCTTTACTCCTCACCACTCTACTCTGCTTTCTGTGCGTGCCTCCCAGACCCCAAGTCTGGGTTAGTGCTGTGTGTTCCCACCGGCACTCTGCTTCTCACCTGTCATGGTTCCCAGTACCACCTGCCTCTTCACTTGTCTGTGTCCTTGACTACTGTGAACATTCTACAAAGTCAGGGCCTGTGCCCATCTTTATTACTCTCATTCCCTGCCCATCAAATGTCAGGGGAGTAAGCAGTAGACTGAAGCAGAGGTGTTTCTCCCTTTGTCCAAACCCCACAGTGCGTAAAGGGGAGGTGGGGAGAGTGTAAGAGATTAAAGATTCTAGAAAAACATGAGATAATTGATGGAGCAAGGTATCTAAAGAAGTAGAAATGTAAGGTTGATTATAATGAGGAACTACTGACCTTGAGAAGATGGAAGAACACCTCCTTTAAGATTGAAAGAGAAGAGGACAAGGTGGATCTTGTGAGAGTAGAGGAGGCTACGTAAGGAAGCTCATACCAGATGATGGGGATCATCTCAGTAAGTAAGGGGCAGGAATCTTGGGCCAGGAAAGGAGGCAAGGAGGCAGGAGAGTGGAGTGGGAGACTGAGGCAAGAGGAGAGAGTTTGAAATAAATGTCTAACTTTTGGCGTCTGTGATCTCTTTAATATTACAATGAATAATATGATGGACACAGAAAAAAGCACATGCATTATGCATACAATTTTAGGGGTGCGTGGACCCCCATCTTGAGGATGCCTACTGTCAGGAATTAATGAAATTGAATGAAAGTATTTCTGAGAAGTAATTTGAAGGCAAGCAGCTTGAGTTTGTAGCATTCCAAGTCTGTATTTCTGTGACTTTTTTTCAGCAACATTCAGTGGCCGGAGAGTAGCAGCTGATGCAGTATTAGGGATTGAGGCTGTGGGCTTCAGAGCAGCCCAGGGCGGGATGAAGTGGAGGAGGGCAGTAGGGGTAGAGGGAAGGCAAAGGATAGGCCAGTGGAGAAGTGGCCGAGGTGGCAGTAGAGGCATATGGAGGTTGGACAGTAGAGGGTGGGAGAGATCCACTCTAAGTGCAGGCCATCAGGGTGCATTGTCTGTAGAGAACGTAAAAATAATAATAAAACTGAAAGTCAGTCCTCTGTTTCATATCATGATGCACAAGTAATTCTAAACCCTGACAGTGATAAAACACTCCCCTCTGAAAAAGCCTTGGTCTAAGACCTAAACAGTTGCCTGCCCCGTGGTTGATTTATGGCACTGAGAGGCAGATAAGGAGATTAAGATAGAGGCAGTAGTCCAGGATGTGGGTGAAGTGGTGGTGGGTGGCTGATGTGGAGCCAAAGTTGAGTGGGTGCCAGAGTAGAAGATGACGCCTTCAACTGGGTGATTGTAAGCAGCACAATGTGATGGCTTTCATGTTCTGGAATATAGGCGTTGTCTGGAATCCTAAATCCTTCTTTTGATTGCTAGCCATGTTTTACTGTCTTCAAATATCAGTTCTGGGCCAGCCCAGTGGCCTAGTGATTAATTTTGCGTGCTCTGCTTCTGCCACCCGGAGTTCACCAGTTCAGATCCTGTGCACAGACCTACACACTGCTCATGAAGCCATGCTGTGGTGGTGTCCCACGTGCGGAGTAGGGGAAGATTGCTACAGATGTTAGCTCAGGGCCAATCTTCCTCATCAAAAAAGAAAAAAAGAGTCAGCTCTGCTCACATCTGTTTCTGCCTCAATGTTCCACTGCTTTTTCACCCCTTTCAGAATAGATGTATTTATTTACTTCCATGTCTTTCTCCCCTACTAGACTGGGTACTCCTTGAAAGCAGTGATTGTGTCTTGTTCATTTCTGAATCCCCAGTGCCTACAGACAGGCATCAAACACATGTTGAACCCGTGCTCACGTCAAGCACTTGTTGAGCCAATGCTTACATATATCTTCTCTGCTTCATAGATTCCTCGGTTCTCCAAGGACCAGGCACCGGTAGATACAGAATGCTGCTGCTTTCCTTCTCCCGGGTAAATGAAAGGAATCTCTGTTCCCCTTTATGAAGTGTTGCCGCTGGACCTTCCTTCCATCCTGAACCCCCAGGGATGCAGAACCAGATTAGGGAGATCCACAGACATCTCCCATTTTTTCATCCTGAAGCCCACTGAGGCATTATCTGTGGAGTCCTGCTGCCGGGCCCTAAGTGGTGATTGTTCCCACTAGAGTGGAAACCACCAGCCTTTGGCTACCTTGTAGTGTGATCACTATGGTCACAGTGATGCATGGATGTTTCTCTGGTGTCCTGAAGGAATTCAGGTGCTTCTTGAAACCCTCTGCCATCTATTACTTGGGAGTAATTTCACAATGAAGGAAACAGCGTCCAGTTCACCCCCTCAGTCTTCCCTGGGGAGTCACAAGACAGCTGATAGTTCCCTGTGAGATGAGCCACTTGTAGAATGGGCTGAATCTCCACCATTTCTTCCCATTCTTCAGCCCACCCTCTTCCCCAAGATGGCCCGTGTGAGGTCCTGCCCAAGAAGTTGCCACACCCTGGGCTAATGGAATAGATAAACCAGAACAGCTTGGTTTAATAATTCAGGTCGGAAGCGGGAACTTTCTAGAGGACAAATCAAAGAAGCAAAAGTGTAAGGGCATCCTCCCAACCAGAATACCCGCTGGGGACGTCCCAGGCCCCCAGCAAATACAGAAGCATCTTCAACTCACCGTCAGACGCATATGTCCTTCTTCCTCAATAGCAGGCTGACCGCTGGAGGCGCACAGAGTCTCTGGGCAACGTGGAGACTACGCTTAATGTTCATTCAACATTACTCAGGGCGCTACGCAACCTGCACAGCCCCCATTAGGCTGCAAACACTTGAACGCTTCCATTTGAAGATGGGAATTTGCCCTCAAGACAAGCATCCAGAGTTTGGGCAGAGAATACTAGAGTTTTTTATTCTCTTGCCAATTTTATAAAATGTGCATTCAAAAAATAAATTTAGTCTCTGTGAAGGCACTTAGATACCCATTAACGATAGCAGCTGCCTGTGGGATCCACGGGTGCTCTTTATAGGAGACGTCTAAATAATTGAAATCTTTAATTGGGTTAAAGAGATCCCGAGCACGTAGGTGTTCTATAAATAAAAGAATGAGTAAATAATATAGTTGGCCTGTCTTTTCGGGCCCTTCCCCTTAAAGAGATCATTTTGTGTTGTTTGTACCAATGAGATCATTGTTCAGGGACTCTTAAGAGAGGTTTGGTTTCGGCTGGGGGTGCTTTCCTAAGAAAACCCCTTTTAGTTCATTTCAGGTGTATGTCACCTTGTCCCTGGGCTCTTTCACTAAAAATGAATAATTTGTTTATCTTTGCAGTAAGTGGCTAGGCACCTGGGTTTTACGTTTGCAACTAGGGTCAGAGAAGGAGGTCAAGGCGGTAGGCTGACGTTTCCCTGTTATCTGAAATCAGACAGGTTTAAGTAGCCCAGAGCCAGAGTACCTCGATGAGACAGAAAGGGGAGAGAGAAAAATGCTCATAAAGAGGAAGTAGTAAGAGGCTTCTGAATTTCAGTGTGACCTGTTCTGTTGGGTGATTTTTGTGGGGGAGGGGATATGAAAGAAAAAAAAAAGTTAAGTAAAATGTCCTTATAAAGACAAAATCTATTTCTTTACTGGCTGATGATTTGTCATTCTAGTCACTTCCTGCCTTGTGACACCCGGGGTTGACAAAGTTGTTCTGCAGAACAGAAAGAAGGAGTTTCCGCTCACTCGCCAGTACCACTGAGCACAGTTTTTGTACCAGGTAAATTTTTCTTTAAGTCTTTTTGCTTTTTCTAAGTGCTTAGGACGTTTTGCTTGTTGGTCGGCTCTGTTTCTGTGGGTTGTGGGTTTTGCCTTAAGGGTACTAGAGATCTGAGCACCTGTCACATGAGCCCTGTGTGAGCCCTGCCACCATGGAGCTTCCCAGCAAAGCCACCTCATGTGGCCCTGCAGAGTGGGCCCCCTCAGCTCTCTAGGATGATTTCTTCCCCGGTTATCACAGTTATCACCCCTTCCCAAAAAAAATTATCATTTTTTTCCTTTCTAAACCAAACCATGTTCTGATTTATTTTATTGGTCCTTTAGGGAGGCTATTTACTGTGATTTTATCTGCTTTAAAATGTTTTCAGGAAAGTGCATATTGATCATTTAGATTGAGTTGCTCATTGGCCTAATGGAGGTAGTTTAATTTTAGCTCCTGTGGTTCTGTTTTTCTAAAAAACTTCTTGCCAGTACTTCAGTGGATATATTAACATCTTGAGTCATATGTTACTGAGTGTGATACTGGTTATCTGAGTGATTTTGGCGCCAACGGTTTTTAATGGGTGTGCTTAATAACCACATGGAAGTAGAGGCCGCCTCTTCTCCGTTTATTCTCTAAAAATAAAAGCAATTTGTGTTGCTTAATTGTACTGTTCTCATAGATTTGTCGGAACTATTCGTTATGCTTATGACCCTACAAATGACCATTAAATTCTAGAAGAAAGGCTTCTGTCTACAATAGAAATTCTTATAAAGTTGATATGGGATGTTTATTCCAGGAACTTTGTTGAAACATAGACTTTGGATCTTGGAGCATCAGCCTTTATTTAATTATCATTATCCAACAATATTAAGAACCATTGACAGATGATAAACGTAAAAGCCATTTTGACTGGAAATGGATTCATTCATCAGCATACTTATGAAAACCCAATTTTTCTTAATCAAATACAGCAACTTGTTTTCTAAAATTACTTCCTCAGGACCACTTTTTTAAAAAGTTTCATTAAACAAAGGTAGTTTATCCACACATCTTAATTTTGAATTTACATACATTTATCATCATTGGCTTCTATTAAATAAAATTGTTTGAAGAATACGTTCACAGGCCAATTTGAATGGAGTTAACCGTATATGTACATATGTGAATTTCTGGAATTTGCAAAATGTGACCATCAGCATTGTCTCATACATCTCACCTGAATAGTTTTAAACTGGCAAAAATGTGAAATTGCAGGGGGAGGACTTGCATCCCAGAAAAGAACAAATTAAAAATATTCTGTGTCTTATTTTTAGTAAAAATATTAATGAGTATAAAATAAATTAGGATGCAAAGGAAGATCAGTATTTTCCTTGCATTGGGAGGGAATAAAACAGAATATGAAAAAGTTAATTCAAAATAGAAAAAGTCTCTTGATTTAAATCGAGTTTAGATTGTTAAAGCGTCAACCTGGTGTGTTAGAAAATATCCATTCCTCTTCGTTCTGGCTCACTCCCAGTATCATCAGGGAAGAATCTTCTGGGTCTTGCTCTTTGAACAAGCATGCTGTATGGGGTGGAGTTGTGCTTAGGGAGACATTTCATTAGTATCTCAGGATGCTTTTCTTTGTCGTATTTTAAGTTTTGTCTCCTTCATAAATTATGCCTGGAAACAATCAGTAATTTGGGAAACAATTTCAGTGTTTTAACATCATTTATAATTTTTTTTCTTAACCCTTTAGGATAGGAGAGGCCAACAAGTAAAGTCTTATTCAAATGTGTCCATTTAAATTAGAGAGAACATGACAAGTATCCCACAGATTTTGACATGTCATGTTTTCATTTTCATTTGTCTCCAGGAATTTTTTGATTTCTTCTTTGATTTCTTCATTGTTCAGTAGCATTTTGATCACATATTAGGCCACAAAACAAGTCTCAATAAATTTAAGATCGAAATAATACCATGCATCTTTTCTGACCACAAAGGTATGAAACTGGAAATTAACTACAGAAAGAAAACCAGAAAAGCCACAAAAATGTGGAGACATAAGTAATAATAACACTTAATATTTATAAGTACTTACTGTGTGTAGCCACTCTCCATGCATTACCTCATTTAATCCTCTCAACTATCTTTAGAGTTGAAGAATGGGCTTAGATCATTGAAGGAACTGGTCCAGAGTCACTGGGCAGTTGGAGGGGGTGAGAGGCGGTAGGTAGCGAGGATTTCAGGCTCCATACTGCCTTTCTATAATTTTCTATCTCTTCCAGATTCTCTCTTCCACACCAGCATGCTCTTCCCAGATGTAGATCATTACAGGCTTTTATTTCTGAAGCTGACTGAAGAGATATTCGCACCCACAATTTTAAAAGAGAGAGAAAACACAAAAGAGAGGGAAAAAGAGAAGGAAAAAATTGCAATAAACTCAGAAACATTTATATTTTTATAAATAAGAGATATCATTGCAGGTTTCATATAATAATAGGATGAAGAAGTATTTTCTTTTACTTAATGCATAATTTTACTAAAGAATTGTATGTCTTCACAGACTTGCCTCAGCCACTTCCCCAACCTTCTTTCTTGTCACTTCCTTCTGCTCTAGCTGTCCCACATCTTCTCACCGCCCCCCTCACTTACCCACGTTCTCACTTACCCACACAAGACCACAAGCCACCAGAAAGTTCCAAGCTATTTCACTTCTTTTGGCTCCAACTGTTTCTCCAGTTGCTTTCTTTATTTGTAAAACATGTGGTCATTTTTCAAGGCTCATTTCAAGAAACATATCCTTTTCAAGACCTTCCCTACTGGACCTGCCCCCGCCTTCTTGCTCCTACTGTTTCTTCTGTGTGTGTTTGCTTAATGCTTTGACCTTAGAGTAATTATAGCAGGAATCATATTGTTTTAGTTTCAAGGCCTTATTTGCTGACAGCCTGAGCCCCTTCTCTACCTTTCCTAGCACGTGGTGGGTACTAATGATATTTATCAAATTGAAAATTTGTCACAGGTATTTTTTCTCAGTTCCTTAGAAACACATGAAAGTCTTTTCTTTGATTTCATTTAACTTAGTATTTACTGAGTTCCCCCCAATGACTGCTATGAAAGAAGATACAACAAAAATGTAATATTTTGCCTTCAACCATGCTTCCTCTTTGCCAAAGCACTATTCTTCATTTTAGCCTCAAAGCACTAAATGGACATTGACTTCAAGGAATTTAAGAAATTGCCCAAGAATCATAGCAAATAGGCAAAATTATAGTCTCATTATTTTAGTCTAACTACATTAACTGAGCTGAAATTTAGCTACCCTTGTCAAAACTACGTACCTGATAATACTGGGCTTCTTTGATGACAAAGAACACAGGAACAAATATCATTAACTTTAAAGTAGTCACTTTGGATTATCCTCAGAAAACTCTCAAGTCAATTTCCCCTTGTTACCTAAAGAGCTAAGGCCCCTCTGTATATGGAGAAGAGATGGCAAACGAATTTCAAAATCATGTTAGGTAAAATAAAATTAAGAAATTTACTCTTAAGACTACATTTATGAAGAGCCAGAAATTTATAAAGTAGGATTATAAAGGCATTGGACTTTATCACTAATAGCAGGTTTTATAGCAAAGTGACATTATTTAGATTAATCTAATTGTCTTCCTAGGGTTTTTTTGTCTGCTAGTTTCCCAACTCACAAGTATCATCAACTGAAGTGATGCTATTCCATCTGCATATTGAACCCCGCAGAAATAAAAATTAACATTAGAGCCCACCAAAATATAAAACTAATCAACGTCAGCAGGTTCCAAGAGTTTTAAATTTCCCTATTTTGCCAGATGGCAATGCACTTCTTAAGTCAAGAGTTTTCCATGTTTCACATTCTTTTCTTTTTGAAGTTCTCAGAAGTTCCTACCCGATTAGACATTCATCTTCTGGTGGCTTCTCCCTGCAGCTGCTGTAATCACTGGACTCTCCAGATGGCGTCTCCCTGTTGTTTTTCTCAGTTCCCTCCTGATTCAACTTCCTTAAACTATTGACTGTTCCCGTTGTTTTGGTTTGTCAATTTCAGTCATTACATCAATCTTCCCAGTAATTTCATAATTGCTCCATCTCGTAAGATACTGCAGACAACTTGGGGGGAGGGGGAAAGATTTTCAATTAATCATCCTATTAATAACAGCTAATGCTTATATACTACTCACTTTGGATTGAGTATGTTTTCTGAGTGTTTTAATCATATCAATGCATTTAGTCGTCACAACAATCCTATGAGGTAGTTACTGGTGTTATCTTTATATCTGAAAGCAAGTTAATTCATTCAAATATTTTATTACTTGAATTTTCTACAATTGAATCGATTTTGCATTAACTGCTGAATTCCAGAGGAAACCTCCTGGAATAAACAGGCAGCGGACTCTGGTGCTTATTTGTACCTAAGCCCTTGAATTGAACTCAAATAATCATAATTTAGCCCAAATAAATGCATCAGAATTACAGTTGCTTTTATTAAACAGACTATTCTTTATCATCATCATCATCAGTATTTGCTCAGCCTCTCTGTGCACTTGACTGAGTATTTGGTTTTTACTAATTAATTGGCCTCTGCCTGGGTCACAAAACATGATTTCTACCCTCAAAAGGTTTGAAAATTTCCCAGTCGTAGAAGGTTAGAATACTTTTAGTCAGGTGGCATTCACATTTTCTAACTGTTATGACTGATAGACATGAATAAATTAAACAATTAGTATTTATATCCAAACACACATATCTATAATTATATGGTAATGGCCAAATATAGGTGTCCTAAAAACTATGAAAGAATGAAAGATTGTTTTAATTGTGAGTTGAAGAATAGAGGTAAAAAGTGACCCACTTACTGAGTTAAAATAAGTTTTGCTCAACTTCAGAGCCCCGCCTGTGTCAGTCCCGCTGGTAAATTATAAGGAGGCTTGTTTCTCAAATATGGTCAGTTGTTTTTTCTGGCGGAAGGAAAAGCTAAGATGTTAAATTGAGGAACCAGCAAAGCCACAGTTCTGTGGTTGCAGCATTGATTCTTGTTTTAGTCCAGCATCAGTTACATGGACAGCTCGACATGCTCTCTCTCTCTCCTCTCTGTTTCTTGCTGTCTCTCTTTCCTCCTCTCTGTCTCTCTGTCTCTCTGTCTCTCTCTCTCTCACACACACACACGCACACATCCTCTTGACTGGCAGAGCTAAAATGCAAAAGAGATTATGTTCTCCACAGGCACAAAAGCTAAGACGCCAAATTCGGCAGGCAAATTAATTATGCATGTGACTTGCAACCTCCCAGATGATTTGTTTTCTTTTTTTCTCTGGTTGCACTTTCAAGATGGAAGTGAATTAATGGGATAATTACTTTGCATTTAAATAATACCCTGCATTTTGATACCTCAGCGTGGGCGGTGGCCACCAAAATTTATCCAAGCTGTGTATCCAAGCTTGTGAAGTAAAGAGGTGCACGAATATATTTGTATAAAATTTGCATCTTCTTCCTTTTCACCATTCCTCAGGCAAAATTTAGAATTAAAACTACATGTCTGTTAACCTCAGGCGTAACATTTTAAAATGTGGAGCCTTTGCACCTTCTTGACATCTTCGGCTCACATCCCCTGCACCAGAGGGCCAGATTAAGAAGAGTGGAATATACATGCCTCATGGAAAAAGCTAGGTAATAGGTGCAAAGTGAACGCAAAAAAAAATGAGGAACATGTAGGCAGTTTTGCATTCTTGAGCCCCCTTTCTTCACCTTAAAAATATAAGATGAACTTTCCCTGTTATTTCCAATGCTTTATAAACACTTAATATTTTTTCCCTTTGGAAAGATGGAATGTCATAGGCCCCTTGAGGACTTTTTCAGATTTTTCCCTTCCCTTGTCTTTCTAGTTGAAATTTTTCACCAAAATATCCCTGGTTTTCTGTTTTTTTCCCTGTGACCACAGAGAAAGACAATTGGAACACAGTCTATCTGGTGATTGTCTGTAATGTATATAATATATAATGTATTTAATATCACATATAATGTCAGTTTTTTAAAGCTTGTAAGTCTGAGTGTCTGCAGTTTCTGTGCATGAAAGAAATAGGTTTGATATAAAGAAGAGAGGGCAGAGGGGCCAGCCCCATGGCCGAGTGGTTAAGTTTGCACGCTCTGCTTCGGTGGCCTGGGTGTGGACCTAGCACCGCTCCTCAAGCCATGCTGTGGTGGCATCTCACATAGAACGACAATGACTTAGAACTGGGATATACAACTATATGCCAGGGCTTTGAGGAGCAAAAAAAAAAAAAAAAAAGAGGAAGATTGGCAACATATGTTAGCTCAGGGCCAATCTGCCTCACCAAAAAATATACCTTAAAAAAAAAAAAAGCAGAGGGCAAATCTGGAGGCAGATTTGATTCCTATTCTAGTCTGTTACTAAGTGTGGAGCCTGAGCAGGTCTTGGAAGCTCGGTTTCCTCATCTACAAAATAGGGGAAAGGACTATCGTTTCCTAGCTCTGTTCTTGGATTCATTTCCCCCTTCCCTTTCCCCATTTTATCCATCTATCTGCATATTTCCCTCTACCACGTTCACCGTCACTCCTGACTTATTGAGCCCTTGCTATTTGCCAGGCATCAGGCTAAGCACTTGACATATATTTGCTCTTATATTTCCACACAAAAGCTTGATGTTATCATCTTCTAACAGAGGACCAAAATAAGGTTCAGGGAGGGTTAAGTCTAAGGTCCCGCAGCTGGTAAGTGCCAGGGCCAAGATTCACACCTTGCCTCTTTCCTATGTCATATTGACAGTTTCTTAAAGGTGTTTAAACTGCTTTATATCCTCTAACATGATCCACTAGTTGCTTTCTAACAAGTCTAAATATTCCTTTCTGTGACTGAATATTGGATGATTATTCTTTTTTTTTTTTTTTTGAGGAAGATTAGCCCTGAGCTAACATCCACTGCCAATCCTCCTCTTTTTGCTGAGGAAGATTGGCCCTGAGCTAACATCATGCCCATCTTCCTCTACTTTATTTGTGGGACCCCTGCCACAGCATGGCTTGATAAGTGGTGCTAGGTCTGCGCCTGGGATCCAAACTGGAAAACCCTGGGCCAGGAAGCAGAGTGCACAAACTTGACCACTTTACCACCAGGCCAGCCCCCTGAATATTGGATGATTGTTCTTAATGCTACATTTTCCATCAGGCAGAGACCTCACCTCTGCTTTCAGTGGGTCTGCTGGTATACCACATATACTTGAAAAACAAATAAATGCTTGAGGATTTTATGGTACAAAGTCCTTAAAATAAGAGTTATGAAGGTATTAGACTAGGCTGTTTGGTTATTTAAAGTTTTGACAAAAGAAATGTTATGACGTATCCGATTGTAAATTGGTGTTGGTAAATATTTGCCAACCAAACTGTGGCTTCCAAAAAGGTGAAGATAAGAATAGCACATCAAATTAATACAAATTGTCTGCCTCAATTTATCTGTAACTCCCCATTTTGTTTTTTATGAGAATGAACTTTTCATTAGAAATTCTAAAAGCACTACCCCAAGGAGCCCGTAAAAAATGAGGTCACATTATTAAGAATAAATAGAAGCTTCTGTCATCATTGCTAATATACAAAGGTCTGCTGTGCGTTGTCTCAGTGATTTTCTAGCTCAAACTACAATAGAGAAAATGTGTTTTCTTATGATTGCTGTACATTTTCCCACTCTGGCCACACTTCCTCAACTGTTAGAAGGTACTTTCCACCGTCAGTATTTCAAGCAGAGGTAAGCCCAGCGCTCCTTGACCACTCAACATGAGATCAGCCAATGCTGATGCTGTTGACTTCTAGTTGGGATCACCTACCAACTCTGAAATACCTTTTGAAACTGACTTTCAGGACTCTGGATGAGAAATGTGGTACAAGGGGAAAACAAGCCAAGCTAAGAACATTGAAGTTGGAGCACAGATGTGAAATCTAGATTTACAAGCACCCCCACACACGTAACATACAATTAAGTGTAGATCATAGGTGGTGACTCTGCATAACATTTCACATAATTTTTAGTGGAAACGGGTTTGTTCCCCAAGATAATTCTGTAAAAGTTCTAGTTCTTTTTTATTTTCCCCTTTCTTTCTTCCTCCTTTCCTTTGCCAAGCACTGTTGTATACAGTTTAAAGACTTTATCTCATTTAATGCGAACAATTTTAACACAACCCTATGGAGTGAGCACGGTGCTTGCGTTATTAATATCCCCTTCTTACATAAGAAAAGACAGTCTCAGAAAATGTAAGTAACGTACAAAAACACACAGCAAGAAGCAGTTACAACAGAAAATCCAGCATCTTTTCACCATACCATGTTGCTTTCTAGTTCATTTTTTTATATACACATATAACAAACCTAATTTCATAAAGGAAGATAGAATCATTAGTATTTGGATGCGGTTTGTGGGATACCTGAAACGCCCTTAGGCTGGCTCGGGCTGGGAGAGGGGAGGCTCGTGTTCTCACATAGGTGAGGCTGTAGACTAAGGAGCCTGAGCCATTCTTGAAACACGTGGAGGAAAAAACTCCTCCCCTTACTCTCCTCTCCATCCTCTTACATCCATGTCTAAGATGTAAAGTACATTTCACGGACTGTGCATCTCAAGGGGTTCTTTGCACCTTTTGGTGGTTTCAGTGCTAACTGACTAGTGTTTTTCCCATCCCTTGCCTAGACCAAGCTAAGATTCCAGAGCCTCTACTTCTCTTTTCAGACTAGCTAGTGACTCACTTGGAGACTTTGGGGAGCAACTTCACTTTTCGGGGCCCTCATTTGCCTATTTTCTAACACATCCAGTTCCCTCCTCATTGGCAGGGCTGTGTTTTCTAAATGGGAGACGTTGATGGAAGGAGGAAGCTACGTACATACAAACAAGGCAAAATGGCTTCTAGAGGGAATCATTTTGCTGTTTGAGGAGGCTGAGGAGTATTTGTATGACCTAAAAGGAATGCAGTAAGCATGGCGACTGAAGATGGCAAGGACAGTTTACATCACCAATGTCTTCCTTCTGGAAACAACAGCTAATGAGGAAGGGAACTATGCTGGCACTTCCCCAAACTCTTTTCTGCCTCCCACATCCTGGGCCAGTCATGCTAACACCCCCCCAACCCCCACTTCTTCTGTGCGCTCCTGCGTGTCTCCTCCCTTTGCAAGGCTGTTTTCTCTTATGTGGAGAAATGGAGTGCCCTTTCCACTTTTTCTCTTTGGGAAACTACTGGGTCTTTAAGATGTAGCTCAGTGGTCAACATCACCTTTTTTGGGGAAGCAGAGTTAAGTGCTTCTCAGGAAGAGATAAGTGCTGCCTGCTCTGTGCTCCCACAGCACCATGATAATCATACCTTTAAAGTATTAAGATTACTGTGGTCTTTAAGTTGCATAACCATTTTCCTGCACGAGACTGTGTCCCTCAAGAACAAGGATTTTTCACCATTCATCTTTGTGTCTCCGGTACCTAAGACAAGGCTAGTTTTTTATTAAATGTGAGTGGTTGACAGGTATGGAGGCTACTGAAGGAGAGGATCCCTTTGTCCACCAGAGGCAGGGGACACAGGCAGGAGTGGGCAAGATCAAGCCTGGTGGTGTTCTTGCTCTTCTTAACTCTTCCCTCAAGACGTTGAAGAAGTGAAGAGGAGACATTTAGAACTCCGCAAAGAACCCAAGAAGAGCCCCAGTTGTAAGCAAAATCTTACAAAACTGTGTGTGTCCCTAATTAACACGAGGTGAGAGCTGAGTAACCCCAAAGGAGAGCATAGAACCTTGAGATACAGAAATCCAGTGGCCAGAGGCGCTGGGAAAGCTACCTCCAGCGAGGCCCACATCGTGTTGGCCTGTAGGGTGGAGGCAGAGTAGGATGCTTCCTCCACCAGGCTCTGGCATAAGCAGGAGGGTTCCCGAGTTCACAGCAATGTAACCCTGGGCTAGTTATTTAAATCTCAGTTCCCTCATTTATAAAGAGGACATCATAATAATGCTCCATAGGATTGTGGCGGAAATTAGATACAATAATGCATATAAAACATTTAGCATTGAGTAACCACTCAGTAAACATGAGCTTGTCTTCTCCTTTGTCTTTGAGCTATTGTTTTCTCTGACTCCAACATAGACAGACTTTCTATGAAGAGAATAACTATTAATCATCCTACACAACTAAGGAAAAAGACTGATCTTTAAGCAATCTCCTGCTCATATGTGGGAATCCAGGTCAAGTGTCACTTCTTCTGGGGGGCCATGCTTGGCTCTCCAGGGGAGAGCTGTTTCCCCTTCCTATGGATCCTGTATTCTACTGACTGGTGTCTCTCTCCTACTAAACAGGCCAGGGCATCTAGCCCAAGACCTGGAGTATAGTAGGTATTTGGCAGATGTTTACTGAAAGAAGAGATGTACAAATAAATAGATGAATTTGCTTAGTGGAAGACATTTAGAATCACCAGAGGATGACTTTCCTAGTCCAGATAGTGATATGCAAATTACAGTCACGTGAACTCTAGCACCCATTCCTGATATTTCCTGTGTGCTCCTGGGACGCTGAGTCCATACCCCCTGGCAGGTTTTACCCTCCTCTCAGTCACTGCCCTGTCTCCACAGTCCCTTTCCTCCCACCTCAGCAGGACTCAGCTCAAAGTCAGACACTATGTACTCAGATAGAGCCCACTGCCAAGCATTGTGGGCCACCAGCAGGGTTTACAGAAATGACGTGAAGAAGCCCAGCCCCAGGCTCTGCTGTCTCAGATGGAAACCCTCTGGTGGCTGGCAGGGTGGGACCAGGGAACATTCCATGGCTAGTTCGAAGACTGCCTAGGGACACTTGCCTCTCTTTAGTCCTCACATCAACTCATCAATGTTGTTTTTCCAGCTAAGTGGTTTCCTGTAAACTTGAAGAATTCTTGTGAATGCACTTGCCTTGTTCTAGGTGTTCGTACCTTTCAGTGGGAGGGATTAGTATGTACCCAAGAATTTTATTGTTAAACTCCTCAAAGGAGGTGAGAGTAGACTTCCTGTATACCCTTAGCTCATGGGTTTGTTCGTTCACATCTACAACTCATTTCCCGAGGACCAGCTATGTGCCGGCCACTGAGGCAGCGTGTGAGATGACTTACACGCTGCGATCTCATAATCTGCTGGAAGAGATGGATGTGGACACAAGAGCCATG